TTCGAACCGTGTGCCTCTGGGATTGCAGTTGCAGGTCCTTGCCAGTAGGCCACCAGAGCTCCCCTTGTGCTTCCAATTTTAATCCACCAGCTGCTCTTCGGAAGAAAGATGAGTAATCTCCTCCAATCTAATTTACTGCCTCTGAAACCCCACTGGAGGGTCAGCTATGGGTCAGTGTAGACTTGACAGCACATAATAACAACAACAAGAAGAATTACTTTAGGCTCAGTTTTCTTTTATTTTTCTATAATAGTAAGAAGCAGAAAACATTGAGATGGGATGAATTAACTCAACTCATTGCTGACATCCAATAGGTTTTCAAAGGCTATAAATCACACAAGAGGAGATGGCTGATTTTTCTCCTGTGGAGCTGCCAGTGGATTCTAATTGCCTGACTGTTCATTGACAGTGCAGCTCCTTATCCAGGAGGCCATCAAAGTTCCCTTAAGAGACAAATAGAGTCCATAAGTACTACCACATTTGTATGGATTACTGATTTTTGACACACATGCAAAAATAATACAGTGGTGAAAGATATTCTTTTCAACAAATAATACTAAGAAATAAAAACGGATATGTTGCTGTTGTTGTTATGTGCCATCGAGTCCCCTGAGACTCGTAGCAACCCTATGTACAACGCCCTAAACTCTGCTCTGTCCTGTGCCAATCGTACTGTCTCTGACACTCCCATCCCGATTATCCCAGTCACTGAATCAATTAACCTCATAGAGGGCCTTCCCTTCCTGGGCTGTCCCTCCACCCTCCCAAGCATGATGTCCTTCTCCAAGGACTGGTCTCTCCTTACAACATGTCCAAAGTATGTTAGATGGAGCCTCAGAATCCTTGCCTCCAAGGAGCCACCCAGTTTAACCCGTTCCAGGATGAATCTGTTTGTTTTCCTAGCAGTCCATGGTACTCTCAATACTCTTCTCCAGCACCACAGCTCAAAGGCATCAAATCTCCTTCTATCCTCCTTGGTCATTGTTCAACTCTCTGATGCATAACAAGTGATTGCAAAGACCATGGCCTGTATCAGATGCACCTTAGTCTCCAGAGAGACACCATTGCTCTTCAGTACTTTGGAGAGGTCCCTAACAGCAGACTTTCCCATGCATGGCAATGCGCCTTTTCATTTCCTGGCTACTGATGCCAAGAATGTTGACTGTGGAGCCAAGCAAACCAAAGCTGTGAACAATCTCAATCTCTTCACCATCCATCCTGATGCTGCCAATTGGTCCAGTGGTCAGAATCCTTGTTTTCTTGACATTGAGCCTCAATCCATATTGGAGTCTGCAGTCCTTGACCCTCTGTAGCAGGTGCTTTATGTCCTCAGTTTCAGAAAGCAGGGTTGTGTCATCTGCGTAACACAGATTATTGATAGATCGTCCACCAATCTTGACCCTACATTTCTCCTAATAGAGCCCAGCCTCCTGGATAATCTGTTCTGTATACAGGTTGAAAAGATATGGAGATGGGATGCATCCCTGGTGTACACCCTTCCCAATTTTGAACCATGCAGTGTTCCCTTGCTCTGTTCTGACCACTGCATCCTGGTCCAGGTATAGGTTTCGCATTAGAACGATCAAGTGTTCTGGGATTCCCATTCTTCTCAGAGTCAACCACAGTTTGTTATGATCCACACAGTCAAATGCCTTTGCATAGTCAATGAAACACATATACATATGTAAAAATACAAACTTAAAGCAATCTCTCACACCATATTAACAAAAATGACTAAAAATACATCGTTGACCTAAAGATAAAGTGTATGACAATATTTTTTTAAAAAATAGAAGAAAATCTTTATGATTTCACATTAGGCAAAGATTTTTTAACTCTAACATCGAGGGGAGATTGAGTACAAAAAATTGGTAAATTTCACTACAACAAAATTAAGATGTTCTCCTCTGAGAAAAGGAAACTTTAGTAGCCTAGTGGTAAGGAGCTGTGCTGCCAGCCCAAAGGCATGCAGTTCGAATCCACCATTTGCTCCAAGGGAACAAGGTGGCCTCCAATATGATTTACTGCCTCTAAAAACCTGCTGGAGGGTCAGTTACAAGTTGGCTCTGACTCGATGGCACATAACAATAACAACAAACTCTTAGAAAGACTTAAGAAAATAAAAGATCTAACACTAAGAGAAAAAAAATGTAAGTCATATTGTTGTTGTTAAATGCCCTCGAGTCGTAGGCAACTCATAAAGACCCTATAAACCCAAGTCCTTGACACTTGACTTTCTTCCTTTCTCCAGGTTCATAGGGTTTCCGGAGGCAAGCTGTTTATGGAAGTGGATGCCGTTCCTGCTTCCAATGTAAGTCATATTCTTGATAAAAATATTTTTTATCCAGAATGTATCCGCAATCAATGTATTCCATGGTAACAGCAGTCAAGATATTTTTAAAATGTGTTACTTTGCACAAATTTGCTGGCACCTCTTTAAAGTGCTCAGGAGCAATAATATCAGTTTAAAGATCAAGGTTTGCCTAAGACATAATATTTTCAGTTGTTTCATATGTATCCGAAAGTTGGACAATGAGTAAAGAAGTGCAGAAAAGAATCTCTGTCTTTGAATTGTGGCGATGGCAGAGAGTATTGGATATCTGGTGGGCTGCCAAAAGGACGAACAAATCTGTCCTGAAGAAAGAGCAACCAGGATACTCTTAAAAGACAAAGAGAGTAAAAATTCACCTCACATGCTGTAGACATGTTGTGTGGAGGTGCCAATCCTTGGAAAAAGACATCCTGCTTGGCTCTTTCTCTTCAGCAAGGCGGCTGAGCAGACGCAGAAATGCATATCTTTGTGAAGACCCTGACTGGCAAGACCAACAACACTCTTGAGGTTGAGCTCCGTGACACCATCGAGAATGTCAAAGCCAAAATCCAAGAGAAGGAGGGCATCCTCATGATGAGCAGTGTCTGATATTTGAGGGCAAACAGCTTAAGGATGGCCATATACTCTCAGACTACAACATCCAGAAAGAGCCCACCTTGCATCTGGTGTTGTGTGTCTGCATGGTGGTTTTATTGAGCTTTCTATTGAGCCTTCCTTGCGCCAGCTTGCCCAGAAGTATAGCTGTGACAAGACAATCAGCTTCCAAGTGTTATGCTCAACTGCACCCCCATGCTGTCAATTGCCACAAGAAGAAGTATGGGCACACCAACAACCTGCACCCCTTGCCTCTTGCAGGTTGCCACCTTCTGAGCCCTATAGCCCTGGACTCACAATAAAGTCTCTTTCATTGAACTGAAGAAAGAAAAAGACATCCTGCTTGGAAAGGGTAATAAGGAGCAGCAAAAGAGAGGAAGGCTCTCAACGAGATGGATTGATACAAGAACGAGCTGAAGAGTGATGGAAATCATGAAGGTGGTGCAGGTCTGTTGTTCACAGGGTCACTGTGAGGTATGGTTGACTCAGTGTCACCTAACAGTAACAAGCAGGGGCAGTTTGTAGATTCTAACTCTTCCGTTAGCTGCCCAGTCGTGTTACCCTTGAGATACCAGGACTCCTTTTATTAGCCATTGTTGCTGTTGTTTTGTTACGTGCCATTAAGTTGACTGCGACTCATAGCAACCCTATGCACAATAGCTCTGATCCCTGCCCTATTCTGAGCCAATTTCACTGTTTCCCACACACTTATTTCCTCTTACCCCAGTTACTGTGTCAATCCATCTCATCCAGGCTCTACCTTTCCTGTGTTCTCTCTCCACCCATCCAAGCACGATGTCCTTCTCCAAGGACTGGTCAATATGCCCAAAGTATGAGAGACAGAGCCTCAAAATCCTTGCCTCCAATGAGCAACTTGATTTCACCCTCTCCAGGACACAACTGTTTGTTCTCTTGGCAGTCCATGATATGTTCAATAATCCAGGACCACAACTCAAAGGCATTGATTCTTCTTCTGTCATCCGTCCATTGTCATTGTCCAGCTCTCAAATAGGATTATAACCAACAATGAATGAATGGAAACCCAAAGTCTCTATAAATTTTCATTAAAATTATTATTAACAATAATAATAAATAGGATTATAACCACAGGTACATAAGTTATGATGTACAACAAATTCTGGGAGGCCACAATTCAATTCAATGTTATGTCAGTCACATCAGGTATATTGGTCATATATTGGCCATATAATAAATAACCACAAAACTGTGTTAATAAATATAGTTATTTTCTTGTTTGCAATTCTGAAAGTCAGGATTTTAAACAGCCCTTAGTGGGAACTGTTCAACCACTTCTCAGATATCAGTTGGGATTATTGGCCTAATTTGGACATCTTTTTGCCTTTGTTTGAAGTCCTGATGATGATAAGAGAAAGAAAGTCATGTTACAAAGGATATAGCGAGAAGGATACATAATTCGCTAAAGAGTATTTTCAATAGTTTATAATCCTATTGATTGATGAAACAATATATTCACTTTGTTCATGATGCCGGGAATCAGTGCTCCCTCTATAGGAGTTCCACAGTCAGCATTTGCTGGATGAATGAACTGCGATGCTATGCCATCCACCCACTGGGATCAGTGCTATCAGCACCCTGATGAGCAGGGTGAGCACGTGTGATGTGATTTGGCAGGAAAGTAATCTCTTGGGCCCCAACTAGTCTTTCTTTCTATCCTTAAAATGACCAGTTGAGAAAAATCTACAACCAGGAGAAGATAAAATAGATGAATGGGACCTTCTTCTTTTTTTTTTTTTTTAATTAGGATAACCAAGTAAGATTTGGATCTTTAATAAACATTTGAAATACACTAGTAGCATAAATCACTATACCATACTTCCTCAGAGAAGTACAATTTCGTTAAAATCTGTTTAAATCTGACAAACCTCCAGCAAGAACTTAAAGTTTAATCTATCACCCCATGGTAACTGGGAAGCCTGGCATGGGAACCACTTTCTCCTTCCCTGCTTCCCTGGAGAAGGGAAAAGAAAGGCTTATGAGGGTCTAACATGAAAAGAGTCAATTAATGACCTCCCAACATGGGAGGTAAAAAACTTTATGAATCAATTTTGCTGTCCTCTTCAACATGTTGTTCAATGTGTCCTGTAGCGTCCTGTTTAGATCCTTTCCTAGCAGTGAAAAAAGCATCACAGTTCTTCCAGCGACACTTCAGAGTTTGAAAGTTAAAATTAGTGTGGTCAGTAAGCAAGTGTTGTTTCAAATGATCCATGACACCAAATATTAAAGCGCAGCCATGCCACCAACAGCGATAATTCTGCATCAGATTTAGCCTCACAGCCTGAATACTGCCATCGTAACAGCCAGTATAGATCATACTTTTATGGATGGTCATACACATAATCATGTCTTTGTGTCCTCCATAAACTTGCAATCTATCATGGGACTGTAATTCATAGACTCGAACAAATTTGTCTAGGCAAGCGGTCACCATCACTTTTCCTAGGATATTCACCACAGTCACAGCATGATTGTGACCTTTGTAGATGCGCACAAGCTCACCAGTGTGAATGTTGTGGGCATGAACTGACTGGAGATGAATGGGACCTTCTAAGAATCAAATCCCTATGCACATCCCAAAACTTCTCCAACGGGGTAAAAACAGAAGCCATAGACTGGGAAAAAAGTGTTTGGTAATGATATGTCAGATAAGGGACTTATATCTAGAATTTATGAAATACTTGAGCACCAGAACAAGATAAAGGTAAATAATCCAATCGAAAAATGAACACAGGATATGAACAGACACTTCACCAAAGAAGACATTCAGATGGCCAACAAGCACATGAAGAAATGTTCAAAATCCCTAGCTGTAAGAGAGATGCAAATCAAGACAACTATGAGATATCATCTCACCCTAGTCAGAATAGCAAAATTTAACAGAACAGCAAGCAACAAATGCTGGCGAGGTTGTGG